GACCGCCTAACACTCATTGACAAATATTCTCCGTATTCCACATATGGCAGGGGCGGTGTACATGAATTTGTACCAGGGGGGGGGGGTCTAAATGTGGAACACTACCAACTTGCGAGACACGCGAAATTTTCGAAATTAGACGCGGCTCTTTAGAATGCGTTTTCTGCGCGAGGCAGGGGAGGGGGGTCCGGCACCCAACTGTCCGGACTGGACGCCTCCCCCGCTCAGCTGTAACAGCGCGCCCTTTTCTAAACTCATTGTGAATACAATGGTGGTTACCTTAGTTATCTAGTTTCACATTCATAGTCTGTTGCTTTTAATCAAATGTTATCCTAGTTGTGCTAGCATGTAATATGTCAATTATTTCGTAATTTTGTCCTTATTTCGGAAATTACATCAATTTAAAACTACCCTATTTGTACCAACAATTTATCCTATTTGTGCTAAATTGCTAGTTTAATTATTTGCGCGTTTATTGCCCGTTGCTTTTATATCCTGTAAAATTGTAATTAAGTATTATTAATATTGCCATTTTAGCTATTTGTACAGGTATCTATTATTGTTGTGCATGATTTGCTAAACGTTTTTGAGATTCTATAGTGATACATTTCATATTGTATCTACATTTACATACATTACATAATTCTAAGACGCTCCGTCGTTAGTAAGTAATGTTGCCAGTCGAATTTTAATCACTAACTCGCGGCTTTCTCACATTGTATGTGTAAGTTAAATGAGGGCAATGACAAGAGCTGTTTGCCTGAATAGGATGGATATCCTTACACAAACCATAATTTATTCACTAATTAACAGGTAGTTACCTGCATCGCGGCTGTTGCTCTGTATATATATATAATATATATATATATACTATTATATACTCATAATATATGAGTTATATATTCAGCTCTGAGTCGTGGTCTCGTGATCCACCGCCACAGCTGTTGCACGTCTGGTCCCTGGCCCGGCGCCACGTCAGAGAATAACCATCTTAGTCAGAATACTGGCTGTGCTGCATCGCCCATGTAATACTTCCGTTATGCTACTACTCGGTTCTTCTAAGGCCGTTACACCCCGTGTCATATTCACCCTATCTCTTCTCCACAGGCCGTCGTAGGTCATCTATATTATATTTGTGTACAGTGCGCGTACATATATACGTCAACTGGTGGTATACCTTTAGCAAGTTTCTGGTGGAGAAGCAACATCTTGGAGTGCGATCCCGAACCGAGATCTACGGATTACAGAATTTTATATATCCGATCATTCAAGCTTCGTGGATGTTCTCAGGTAGACGTACGCATGCACGCACCTATAGACACCTATATATAGGTGCAGGATTAAGATATTCTAATAATTGTCTACAATGAATATTCCTTTATGAGTGATGACTGATATCTATGTAACACACGCGCGCACACACCACGCACTCACACCACACGCACGGCACCGCGACGCAACGCACGCACAGCCGACACAGCTCACGCACACACGCGCGCGCGCGGGCGCACACACAGCACACAACACACCACTACACACCATGCACAAACACACACATACACAACGCACACAACACACCACACTCTATACACACATGAAAACGACCAACTACACACACACACACACACACACACAGGTCCTGGTAAGGAGGAAGTGTAATCTAGTGCTGTCCGGGATCGTTCTGGGTCCTGTGTCCAAACACCAAATCTGCATGATCCACACCTAGACAACACTACACTACTACGCGTCTCCCACAAGACAGACCATCATACTGAGATGACATTGATAACACACAGCACGCCACCCACCAATACATAAATAACACCACCCTGCCTCGATCGGCCAGCCTTTATTCTGCACAGGGCTATCGCGGTAACCGACATATGAGCTACACATCGAGTGGAACTCGTTCACCTGCGATAGTACACCACATTAACAGTGACATCTATACCATCACAAGCGGCACACACACACACATTGACACACACTATTTTTTCACTTCTATTTCATCGTTGGATCAATATTGTTAGAAGGGGTTTCTCATTAAATCCGAAACTGCTATAATGAGAATTGATTTGGAATACGCCAAATTGGCGCTGATTATTGCTCGTTCTTCTGATTGTTCTTGCGTTATAGGAGAAGATTGACTATCTCTGTTCGTCACAGGTTCCTTACAAGTACATCAGAGGGGATTTTTGTCAGTTTCCTTCGCTGGCGTCGAGTACTACACATATTAGCAGCCGTCCGTGGCTACAATAGTCCGTCTAATATATAGTTACGCTGCGGTTTTTACAAAGCATTCGCTTCGATAGTATCCTAGGCCGAATCGGCATAGAGCAACCTGAAGAAATTCGTGATGATTAAAGTTCGTCTCCTGCCGTTTCCAAACGCCTTTCGTGAATGTGAGCGTAAGTCCGAAGGTGGGCGAGGATGAAAGGTCGCGAGTGGCGAAA